TTTTACTATTTAGGAGCGTGTGTGTGTGTGTGTTTGTGTGTGTGTGTGTGTGTGTGTGTGTGTGTCTCACTCTGTCATCCAGGCTGGAGGGCAGTGGCGTGATCTCTCGGCTCACTGCAACCTCTGCCTCCTGTGTCCAAGCAATTCTTCTGCCTCAGCCTCTCGAGTAGCAGGAATTATAGGTGTGCACCACCACGCCTGCACATTTTTGCAAGGAGAGACAGAGTTTCACTCTGTTGGCCAGGCTGGTCTTGAACCCCTGACCTCAAGGGATCTGCCTGCTTTGGCCTCCCAAAGTGCTGGGATTACAGGGATGAGCCACAGCACCCAGCCTATTTAGGATTATTAATAATCTAATCTCCACGAGTGTGAAGATGATGTCTGTCTGTCTTGTTCACCATGGCCACTCCAGGGCACAGCTCTGTTCCTGTACACAGAAGTCCCTCCATAACTAATTCTTGGATAAACGACGTGCTTAGCAGGTCTGCAGTGGCCTAGGGATTTGAACCCGGGCCTAACTCTGCAGCCTCAAGGGCTTTCTTCCGTCCTCAGGTCCTCCCCAGCAGGGACTTGGCACCCATGCTGCAGCGACTCTTCCTGTGGGATGATCCTCCCCCAGCGTGCCTTGTCCTCAGGCCCGACTGCCGCAGATGAATGCCCATGAATCAAGTTGACATTTCCATTACCCGAGGGAGACGAGTGTGTGGCCAGGACCGCTGGCTTTGGCGGGGGTGGCAGGGATGCGTGCCCATCACCGCCACCAGCCGAGGAGGGAAGGCAGTCCAGTTACTCATGGAGGCCCGGGCCTGCCCATCAGCCCTTGGCCAAAGAAGGGACTGTGGCCTCGTGGACCCTCTGCACCTGGGGAGGGGGGGTGACATGAGCCAAAAGCAACAAGAGAAGCACGGAGCACATACAGACACAGGTGTGTGCCCAGGGCCGCGTGTGTATTACGAGCATGTGTGTCCAGCATCAGCACACATGGCATTTCGTCCAGGGCCAGCAGAAGCAGGCGTGAGTGTGTACACAAGGTCGACAGAACACACGGCGTGGATGAGACAGTGGACGTGCAGTCAGCACATAGGTACATGCAAGGTGCTGACTCACACTTGGGCAATATCAACATGTGGAGAGGGAGGAGTGGGGGAGTGGCGGGCTGGGTGGGTGGGTTTAGGGTCAGCACTTGGAGCGAAGTCAGCCTCTGATGATCGTGTGTGTGTGTGTGTGTGTGTGTGTCCAGGCCATGGTAAGGTTGGCATGTTCACACGAGCCCAGGGCATGTGGATACAGAGACACGGGGTGCAGGTGCCCAGAGCAGAATGAGATTGTGTAAGCGTTTTGGGTTGTGGGTCACGCCGATATATATGGGTGTCAAGACTGAAGACACACGCACAGCCATTCCCTCCACGGCCAGAGCCTGTGCAGTGCAGGGGAGGCGTAGCTGGGAAAGCTGCCTGCCGGGGTGCGGGTGGAGGGGTTTTTCTTTCCCATCCAGGCCTCTGCGTGCTCAACCAGGCACCCCCAGCCTTCAAACCAGATGGTGACTCCCACCTCCCAGATTCAGGCAGATGCTGGTATCTGCTCCCTGCATAGAGACAACTCTCATACTAGCTCGTAGTAAACCCACTGGGATTACTCACCCAGCCTGGAAGTGCTTCCTCTTATCTAACCAGCAGCTTTCTTGCTGCAGTCTCCATGAGACTGACAGACAGCTGGTTCTCAGCCCCTGCCCTGGAGGGCCTGGAAGGAGACCCGAGGACTTGAAGCTCAGTGGCCCTGGGAGCCTCCTACCTCCCTCCCTTGCCCCGCGACCATGGCTCTCGCCTGAGCTGTCCACATACCATAACCACATACCACTTGCACGATTGTTTATTTAGTATTTTTCTTTAAGCCAACTCTTTTTTTTTCTTTTTACTTAAATGCCTATTTGGGTTTCATCCTAAGCAGTAACGTCTGAAATCATAGCACTGATGTGCCCACTGTACATTTTTGTCTAATACACATTTACATAAGCACAACTATTAAAATAGATTGAAATTTTGGCCATGTGTCAACTAAAATTATCTCCTGGACCTCCTGCGATCCGCTCACCAACTTCAGCAGGACCCCGGGTGAGAATAAGAGCCCCGGGATACCTGTGGCCTGGGCTAGATCCCTGCCGGATACGTCCCCATCCCAGCCCCATATATGGCAGTGGCATCCTCCTGCACGAGGCCAAAGCCCAAACTCCTTCTTCTGACATTCAAGGTCTTAGTAGAGCTGGACCATAACTGCTCTCCCAGGCCCATTCCCAGCCCCGTCTTCAGCCCCACCTAGCAGGTCATCAATATTTACTGAATGAATGGAAAGTGAATTAACAAATTGTTTGCTTGATGAATCAATGCGTGAATGAATGAATGAATGAGCACAAACCTCCAGCAGGGTGTCCCCTGAACCCCTGAAACTCAAGACACCCGAACCACGAAGTCTCCATCCTCCCCATCCCCCAAGCTGACCGGTAATAGAATCATCACCGACTTTCCTCTCCTCCCACCTCAGTCCCTCTAAGCCCATTGATTTTCCATCCTAATTGGTTCCTGAATTAAAATTTTGCCCATGGTCCCCTCCCCAGGGCCACTTTTCTAAGCCAGCCCACTTTCTTCTCCTTCTTGAGTGTAGCAGGGATGAGGAAGGGAGAGGTGCCTCCCACATCTATTCTTTGCCCATAGCTGCGGTGATCCTCCTCAAATGTACACCCAGGCGCATCCCAGTCTGCTAGAAGCATCCCACTGCCCACTACCCACTGCCCCAGGATCAACTCTAAGCTCCCTAACAGGGTTGCCAGTCCTTCCTGGTCTGGACCCACCGCCCTCTGATGCCTACTCTTTCCTGATCTCCCTGCTCTCCACACCTGCCATTGGGACTATTTTAAAGTCCTGTAATGTACTTTCTTTCCCTTCTATACTCCTGCCTGCCTGACACCTGACACCCCTGACACTTCATGTCCTGGGTTAAATATCATTTTCTCAAAGGAGCCTCCCTAGACCACAGCTCCCACAGCCCTGACTTCCCCTTGTTGTCCTGTTAGTAAACACCCACAGAGTGTTTACATGTGCCAGGCTCTGTTCTAGACACTTTGAATACATTAGCTCATTTAATCTGCACAACAGCTTGAAGAGGTAGGTATAATGATTATCTGGATTTAATGGATGAGGAAACAGGTACAGAAAAGTCAAGTAATTTGCCCAAGGTCACAAGTGGAGCCGGTGGAATCTGAACTCAGGCTGATGACAATAGACACCCCCTCTCTGGATGCTTCAGTATCCTACCCCAAGTGCCTACCGCAGTGCTTGGCACACAGTAGGGGCACAGTGAACTCTATCAGTGAGTAGATGGATGTACAGCTGGATGGTTGAGTAATGAGGATGGGCGATGCATGGAAGGAGGATGGATGGATGTCTGATACAAGGAAGGATGACAAGTGATCAATGGATGATGAATAGATGGAGGGATAGATGGATAATTGACAGATGGTGGATAGATGGAGGGATGGATAGGTGATGGATAGGTGTATGGATAATGGGTGGATGGATGAATAGATGGAGAAATGGATAAAGAATGGATAATGAATGGATAATGGAGAAATGGATAACGGATGGATGGATGGATGGATGGATGGATAGATAATGGACAGATAGAGGGATGAATGGATGAGCAGATGATGGGTAATGGATAGATGGAGGTATGATGGCTGATGAATGATGGATAAAGGATGGATGAATGAATGGATGGAGAATGGATGGAATGATGGATGATGGATGGATAAATAGATAATGGATAAATGAAGAAATGCATAATGGTTGGATGGATAAGGGATGAATGGATGATGGATAGATGGAGGAAATGAATGATGGAATGATGGATACACAGCTAATGAATGAATGGATGAATGGTGAATGGATGGATGGATAGATATAATGGATGGGTAGACGATGGATGGATGGATGATGAATGATGGATGAATGATGAATGGATAACAGGTGATGAGTTGGTGGATAATAGATAGATGAATGATGGATGGAGAGATGAATGATGAATGGATGGATGGATAATGGATAATGGCTGGAAGAATGTTGGATGATGGATGAATGGATGCATAGGTGATGGATAGATAGCTGATGAATGAGTGGATGGATGGCAAATGGATGGATGAATAGACAGATGATGGATGGATAAATGGCTGGATGGATGGATGATGGGTGGATGAGTCTATGGATGATAAATGATGGATGGGTAATAAATTAAGAATAGGTGGATAACAGATGAATGATAGATGGATGAATGATGGAGGGATGAATGATGATTGAATGGATGGATAGTGGCTGGATGAGTGATGGTTGATGGATGAATGGATGGATGAATAAAGAAGAATATTCTACTTTGAGAAAGCTCTAGAAATTCTTCTGGGAAGGAATAAGGCCTCTTGGGAAATGACTGAACTTGGAGTCAGGAGTACTGATTCAAACCCCATCTCTGCCCTTTGCTAGCTCTACAATCTCAGACAAGTTACTTCAGCTCTGTGACCCTAAGTCCCCTCGTCTTTATAATAGGAATCTGTTTCCACAGGCATCTAAGCCCTGGGATTTTCTGTAAAGGTGGTGCTAGGCGCAGGGTAAAGGCTCCTCAGGGTCAGAGTGGTGTGATGTTGCTGAGCTCTGAAGACAAATGTGGCTCCTTCACCTTCCCTGCTTAGGGCCTGGGTTTGGGGGCCCATTTCTTGCTCACCCCACATCTGTTGCTTGCCTGGACTTTGCCTTGCCCACTCTCTGGAATCCAAGGCAGCCCTGCAGCCTGTGTCCAGCCTGGGCTCTACACTCCCTCCCTCCCACCCTGCCATGTCTGGCCCTGGCCTCTGCACAGTCTCTGCTGTCACGTTGAGCCACCTTGAGGAGTAACGGGGTGGGGCAATGACGGGGCAGCCACAGCCCAGAGAGCAACTGGCCTCCACAGACCGCAAGAACACAAGTTCAACAAGCATTTATTGAGCCCCTGCCGTGTGCCTGCTGTTTGACACCCCTGCTGTGCCTGCACCACTGCCCCCCATTCAGGAGGCCACCTTCTGCCCCCACTGGGCTCTGCCCCTCTGGGCACCTCCTTAGGGTCCTGGCTGGCTTGTGGGTGCCAGCCATTCAGTGGCCAATGGCTGTGTCTCTCCTGGCATCACAGCTGTGCCCAGCAGGGCTCCTCATGTGATGATGGCAAGAGTCCAGGGCTGCTGCCCCAAAGTCACTCTGTGCAGCCCCATCCACTCCCTCGGGCCTGCCCTGGCCCCATTTCCAAGGCCCCGGGACCCAGGCAGTGATGGGCAGGACGGGCCTGGCATCTCCCACACAGGCTGACTGAGTTCGCGGCACACAGGCCAGGGTTCCAGGGGCACCACTCTGGCGGTCTTGCAGCAGGGGCTGGTGCCAGCAATGGCCTGAGGTCCGGGGGCCAGGTTGAGGTCTTGGTCACACCCAGTGCCCCAAGACCCAGCACTGTCGGTTCAGCTCTGGTGCCTCCTGTGTGGAGCTCCGGGGCCAGGAATCCGCCATGTGTGGCTGGTGTCCTGCTGGGAGACAAGGTAGTCAGTGCGAAAGCCAGCCACCTTCCTCCACCCACACCCTGTCTACCCACCGCCCCATACACACATCCATCACCCACCCCCATTTACTAGGCCCTCTGCCCATCATCCCATCTGTCTACAAACCCACGCCCCAACACCGCCAGCTCTCCACCCAACCTTCCCCCGTCAGCCACCCAGTCACCCACCAGTTCACCAACACACCTGTGACCTAGTCATGCATCTGCCAATATTTGCTGCCATCCACTTATCAAGCTCCCAGTGTATCCATGACTCTGCTTACGCCCTCTCCAACCTACAGCCCAGAACGCACTCATGCACCTCACACCTGCCAACAGGTGCACCACTGCCCCCAACCACCTCCTACCACCCAGTTACATACCCTTCCATGCACACCTCCGCTTACACCTGAAACATCCCTATCTCCACCCCATGCCCACCCGACAGCCATGGCACCCCCGCAGGCATGTTCTCCCACCCCACATAAAGCCATGCCCCACTCCTGCCATCTACTCACCCATTTTCCCTGCACCCTTCCCTTCTACCACCCACCCCTCAGCAAATCCACCCACTTATGCAGCCATCATCCACCACACTCCTGTCATCCTGCAGCCGTCTCCCCATCTGCCCCCAAGCAGCCCTCCCTGATCACCCCATTGGCCTTATATGTGTTCAGGAGCTGTTGTGGAGGGATATTAGAAGGGGAACCAGAGCAGATGACTCCCAGGTCCCCGAATCCTTGCTGGACCCCAGCAATAATGTGCGTGGACATGGGTGGGCCCAAAGCTGACTCTGAGAAATTCCGTGTGCCAAGTGTCTACTCCTGCCACTGTCTACTGTGCTTAGTGACCCGGACAAGGGGAAGGGCTGGAAGGGCTGGAAAGGCTCTTTGCCTCCGCTGTTCTCACTCCTTTGTGTTCCTGGCGATTCTTGGAAGATCACTCCCTTATCATCCCTTAAGTGTCTCTTCAAAGTCTTTCTAGTGCACCAGAAGAACCATTCCCATCTCATGCTGTGGCCTGCCTGAAATGTCCTTGTACCTCCTGTCGAATCAAATTTTTAAGACTCAGCTTGAGTTTTGTCTGTCCAGGAAGCCGCCTCTTACATCCTCCCCCTGACACTCAGGGATCTCCCTCATCCCAGCGCACCCATCCTCAGCACACACTCTGCCAGCATTAGCCCCATTAGCCCCTGAGCCCAGGAGAGCAATGACTGAGCCCAGAATGTATGCGCGCCCCTGCAGACCAGCAGAGGTGGAGCTGGAAGGAGGGAGACTAAGGGAGAGGACTGGTGTGGTGGAGTGGGGCTGGGAGTGAAGGGGAGAAGGAAGAAAACGAACAGTTCCTGAGCATGCGCAGCTCCAGAGGTAGGTTCTGCCCATTTTACAGAGGAGGGAGCTGAGGCTCGGTAAGGATTAACAGATGCTTTACAAGTCACAGCTGTAATGGAGCTGGATTGAATTACTTTCCTCCCGATTCCAGATTTCAGCATTTAAAAAAACATGTTCCCTATCATTTCATTTTCCTACTCTGATTCTCAGACATACTTGTCACACTTTAAGGTCAGACAGGCTCTTCACAGAAAGCCCACTGAGGTGGGAATTCCTAATCAAGTGGAGCTCCTACTTGCATGCCCCTAAGGACGGAAAGCTCATTGCTCTTTCTCCATCCTCAAAGCAGCTCTCACTGTCATGAGATTCTTCTAGTAACAAGGCTTCAAGATAAGAGTCAAAGAGGAAGAGGGTTGTATCCACAGTTGGGGTGGGGGGTAATTTTTTTTGCTTTCTGCTGTTTTTCTTTTCTGTTTTTCTTTTCTTACTGTTTTTCTTTCTGCTTTTAATATTCTTTAATGTTAGTGTTTTGCAAGTTTTACCATATTGTTTAAGGGGTGGGAAACATTTTGCAAACATTTTGGAATCGTTTGGCTTCAGAAAAACGCATTTGTTTTGGCCTCAGTCACGGAAACCATTGCATCCGTTGGAAGGGTTTACTGCCAAGATAGAGGTGTTTGGGATTGTTTTTTTAAACCTAGAAGCAAATATTTGGTGCACGGAAAGTTACGGTTGTTTTACTAAATAAGCATTTAGGTCTGATTTTAGCTTCTTGTACAGTGGCCAAAAAGCAGAGCCATGGAGAGTTCATCAGAGCAGAGAGAAAGTGATCATGTATTTTTTAAGGAAAAAGAAAGGCCACAATCCCTGTCCTTTCCTGAGTTAAAATCAAGCTCTCTGTCTCCAGGATCCAGAGGGCAAGACGCTGAGGACTGGGGCCCTCCTCCCTTTCTTTAGCAACCCAGGAGGCATTTGGGGCCCAGAGCCATTTATGGTGTGTGTATGTGTAAAGAGGGGAACACCCCAGCAGCCCACCAGGTTCCCCCACCCACTTCCCTTCTCTCTCAGGCCTTATGCTGTAGACTGGGAATCTCAACTCAAAATGTCTGTGGGCCCAAGCAGACAATATAAATGGGAGAGGTGAATCAGAGACAGTGCCAATTGTTACCATGGAGAATGTGGGCTCAGATCTTCCTAATTTTTTTTGAGATGGGGTCTCATTCTGTCACCCAAGGTGGAGCACAGTGGCGCCATCATGGCTCACTGCAGCCTCGAACTCCCAGGCTTAGACAATCCTCTTGCCTCAGCCTTCTGAGTAGCTGTGACTACAGGGGCACATCACCATCCCCGGCTAATTATTTATTTATTTTTTTGTAGAGCTGGGTTCTGGTTATGTTGCACAGCCTGGTCTTGAACTCCTGGCCTCAAGTGATCTTCCCACCTCAGCCTCCCAAAGCCCTGGAATTGCAGGTGTGAGTCACCACGCTCAGCTGGATCTTCAAAACTTTCAAAGAAACTGAAAATCTGGATCTCAAAATAAAACCTCTTGGCTTTTAAATGATGACAATTAAGGTTTTAAATGTAGTTTCAACAACTGTGGTCCAAATAGCACCTCTCAGGCTGCACTCAGCCCACGAGAGGCTGTTCCCAGCCTGTGTTTCATTCCATGATTCTGTTCTGTGGCTTTGCATAGGCTGATCCCTCAGGCGGGAGCACCCTTCCCTGCTCTCCTCTGGCTGTTGGCTCCCTGAGTTTTTCAAATGCTGCCTGTTCTGGGAAGCATCCCATGTCCCTGTGGAACGCTTCCTAGAGCAGGTAGCATTTGAAAAACGGAGGCTTTGCTCCTTCCCCTGTGCCTTTCAGCAGGCTGCATAACTCTCTCCCTGAACTGGCCACTTTGTGTTGTAATAGCCAGGTCAGCATGGGTCTTCCCAACAAACCTGGGGATGGGAGACATCTTTATGAGCAGGGCCAGGGCCCGCTTCATCTTGGAGTCTTGCGACCCCAGTCCCTGGCCCAGCACAGAGCAAGTCCTGAATTGGACTCTTTGTTTTTTCTTTTTAAACAAATGAAGGAACTATGGAGGAGGAGGAGGAGGAGGAGGAGGAGGAGAGTGATTCCTGCACTTGGGATGCACCTGCTCCACGTGCTCTGTAATTCTGTACAGTATGAAAAGGCTGTTTGCTCAAACTCTGCTCTCCTGGGTGAAGGCTCAGGTGATGGCAGAGGGCTGGGGAGACTGTACTTCAGTCTAACAGCCAAAGGCTCAAACCCAGCTTCCACCACTTCCAAATTGTGTGGATTTTTTAAAGCTGTGTGGCTTCTGACAAGCAGCTTCACCTCTCTGAGCCTGCAAATGGATGAAAGCTACAAAGCAGCCGGCAGGCCTAGAAGGAGCCCTGCAGAGAAGCCCTTCACTGTTTGAGCTCAGACACGGACGGATATGGAAAGAACACAGTTCTGGAAGCACTAGAAGCAGGTGTGGTTTGAGAGCCTCTCTTCACAATGGGGAAACCAAGGCCCATGGGTGGGAAAAAATTTGTCCAAAGCCCCACTCGGGGGGCGGTAGCAGGTCTGTGGTTTCCATTTTCTGGGAACCTCCCAAGGTTAGTAGAGTATTTGACCACAAGAGGTTCCCAAAAGGTGTGATTTATCTTCCTTTTTAAATCCAGGTATCAAAACACAAACGTATTTAACATTAGATCTCCTCCAGCCCTATGCCCCCCACCCCTTGGTGAGGAATCACTGTCTTGAACCCTCTCTAAGCCACCAAGATCTGGGGATCAGATGTAACTTCTGAATTGAATTAAATCGCATCTACTATTCCAAAATGGACTCATTGGTTTGGAAGAGCCCTTCAAGACCAGGAATGTCAATGTCACACAAATGTACAGATGGGGAAACTGAGGCATTTAAAGGGAAACTGACTTGCTCAAGGTCTCTCTGCAGCTAGCAGAGTGAGGGTACCAGGTGGCAGGTATTGGTGCTCCTGATCCCACGTAGCCCAGACTGGCACGGATGAACTGGGTTCCTTTACAGGGAAGTTCCTGCTGGCCAGTCACCCAGCCACTGTCCAAGGTGCTGAAAGCCTCTCTCTAGGACTCACAGGTCCGCCCAGAGCCAACTCTCTGAATGCCTAACCTTGACCTCTGCCCTCCAGAAAGAAATGAGCTCTGAGAAGTGGTAGAAAATGAATCAGGGCTGGCACTAAGACATCAGGCTTTGGAGACCTGTCAGCTAGTGACACTCATCACTCTTCTGTTGCCCAGAATGTCACCGCCTCAGCAGGCACCCTGACTGGCTCTCTGGATCCACCCTGCTCTGCAAATCTCTACCATGAGAGGGCTTCAGAGGTGCCACTGCATTTGGGAGTATCTGTTTACTGGTTTACTCCTCATCTTGCCATTGAGGCGTGTGTCACAGGAGGACAAACGCCAGCTCTGCTTTTCCTCACGGCTGCATCCCAGCACCAGCATGGTCCCAGGCACAGTGTTGAGAGCACCTGTCTGCAGAATGAGTGGACAGTGGAGGGCTCAGGAGGAATGGCAGGCTTGAGTGGGATGAACCCATATGGAGGGAAGTTTGTGTCTTTTGGTCTACCTTGGGGCAGGTGGTCTTAGGAGATTGAATGGAGGCCATCTATCTTTTCACTGCG